TACCATAGTCGGAACTGGATGAAGACAACTCCAGAATGGAGTTCCGTCATTTACATTAGCTCCATTGGATGATTTTAGACTTGAGAATATGTCCGAACTGTGAATTGGAGATCTGTAGTTGATTTAGGTTTGAAATGGCGAAAGTCGAATTTTTGAAAATTTTGATTGAAAGTGAACTTTTTGATATAGGGGTCGGACCCCGATTTCAGAAGTTGGAGTAGGTCCATAATGTTGAATATGACTTGTGTGTAATATTTTTGGTCAATCGGACGTGGTTTGATAGGTTTCAGCATCGATTGTAGAAAATTTGAAGTTTCAAGTTCATTAAGCTTGGGATGGAGGGTGATTCATGTTTTTGTTGTTATTCGATGTATTTTGAGGGCTCGACTAAGTTCGTATGGTATTTTAGGACTTGTAGGTATGTTGGCCTTGGGTTGATTTTGAGTGGTTAACGGGTCATTTTGGACTTAGGAAAGATTGTAGGTTTTTCTGAAGTTCCAGTTCTAGTTTCCTTCTTCATGTTCGCGAGGGAAGTCCTACATTCGCAAAGAAGAGCTGGAGGTAGGAAGGGAATCGCTTCGCGTTCTCGAAGTGGGGGCCACATTCGCGAAGGTTGGTTCAAGTAGTGCATCGCGAACGCATGGAGGGCATCGCGTTCCTATAGAAGAAGTGGAGCAGCTGGGACCCAAGGCTTTGTTCTACGCGTTCACGTAGTAGAGATCGCATTTGCGAAGAAGTGGGAAGTGGAAGGTATGCCTTCGCGAGAGGTCACTCGCAATTGCAAAAGAGGGATTTTGGTCAGTGAAATTTTGTTATACGCGAACGAGAGGGTGTGGCCACTTTCGTGAAGAAGGAATGCCTGGGCAGTATTAAAATGTAACGACCCGACCGGTCATTTTGCTTTCTAGAACCCTATTCCTCTAAATGAGACACTGATTTATGATTTGCAGGTATTGCTGGTTCGGGAGTTGGAAGAGTTTGGGTTGAAATCGGAACACTTGGTTCTTTAAGATTAGCTTAAAAGGCTAAGTTTGACTTCGTTTAATAGTTTGAGTAAACGACCTCGGAATCGAGATTTGATGGTTCCAATAGGTTCGTATGATGAATTCATACTTGGATGTATGTTCGGATTAGGTTTTGGGTGACCTAGGAGCATTTCGGCGCCTCATAATGAAAGTTGGTTCTTTGAAGGTTTTTGAAGTTTATTAAATTTGGTTAGGAGTAGGTTTTGGTGATATCTAGGTCCAAATGGAATTTGCAGACAGGGAATAGTTCACTAATGTCATTTAAGACTTGCACGCAAAATTTAATGTCAATCCGAGTTGTCTAAGTACGATTCGACGTGTTCGGAGTGATTTAGAAACTCGAAGTTCAAAGTTTGATCCAATTTGATTTTGGGGTGTGATTCTTGGATTTGTTGTTCTTTTACGCATTTCAATAGTCTGAGTAGGTCCGTATTATGATTATAGACTTGTTGGTGCCTTTGGACGGGATTCCGAGAGGCTCGAGTGAGTTTTGGACCCCAAGAAACCAGAAATCCTAATTCCGGTTTCCATCTTCGCGAACGCGAGGAGGTTGTCGTGTTCGTGTAGAAGGAGTTAGGACTAGGGGGAAATGTGCTACGCATTCGTAAAGGTCTAGGGCCAGTGACCTTCACCTTCGTGTGAGGCGACTCACATTCACGTAGGGGTAGCTGGGATGGGCTAGGGCCGCTTTGTTCTTCGTGTTCGCGAAGCAACCCCTCGCGTTCTCGAAAGGTAGGCCAAGCCAGCGCGTTCGCGAGACCTTGGTCGCGTTCGCAATGTAGAGTCTCCAGGGGGTTTTAGCCATTTGCCTTCGCGAACGCGAGGCCCCTTTCGCATTCGCAAATAAGGGGGCAGTTGGGTAGTGAGTTTTAGAAACGGGACTTCGGCATTTATGGGGTCATTTATTTCACTCGTAGGACGATTTGAGAGCTTTTAAGGAGGGGATTTCGACCAAGCTTTGTGAGGTAAGTAATTTCTACCAAATGTGAGTTAAATACTTCGATTATGGGTAGATTAACATGTAAAAATTAGTGAAAAACAAGGGTCTATAGGAAAACCTAGGTGTTTGATTAAAACAAGATTTGACCACGAAATTGATTATGAAACGTAGTGAAAATCGTATATTTATGTTCCTAAGGTTATGGGTAACAACTTTCTACAAAAAATTTCGGAATCCGAGCATGTGGTTCTGGGGGTGAATTTTAGGAATCTTGCAATTGGGTTGCGTAATCACTTTAATGGTTGAAATATGAAATTTTGAGCATATATTGATTAGTTTATGTAATGTTTGACTAGTTTCGAGTTGTTTGGCGTCAAATTTGGAGGTTTGAGTGCGTTCTTGAATTGAGAAGTAGGCTTCGAGATGAGGTAGTCACCTTTCTAACCTTGTAAGAGGGAATTAACTCCATAGGTGACAAACGTGTGTACCTATTTGTGGGGGTTATGTACGTACGAGGTGGTGAGAGTCCGAACATAGCTACTAATATGCTATTGTCCGGGTAGTTTAGGACCCATATCATGCCTTATTTGAGACGTTTGCGCCCTTACTTGCTAAGTTGATTACTTGAGTCAAATCGGAAATTTCAGGAAAGAAGTGTAAGAGGATAAATTCACATATTTGAAGATTTAACGGAATGCTTGACTATAAATGTAAAATTTGTGTTTTCTTTGAAAATAATTGCTATTTGTGGATCGGGCCGAGCGCCTCGATAGTAAATAGATGCATCTATGGTTCGCGTCATTCAACCCTCCGGCAGTGCACAATTTGATATTATGTTGGACCGGACCATACGACCTCAGCATAATTTGCGCATGTTGATATTTGAAACTCTCCGTGATTTATACTACTTAAATGTCTTGAAATGTGAGTTGGTAAATGATGTGACTAAAATTGAAAATATATTTGTGAAAGTAGAACTTATCACTTCCTATTATTGAGCTTTCAGTATTGTTCATGATATCCATGCTTAGCCTAACACTTTAATTATATTATTGTTAGCCCATAGTAAGTGTCTAAGTCGACCCCTCGCCACTACTTCTTCAAGGTTAGAGTGGATACTTACTGGGAACATATTGTTTATGTACTCATACTACGTTTTTGTTCTTAATTGTACAGGATCTGAGGTAGGTGCATCTAGTTACCCGCCCGACGTGCATACTTGATCTTGGTTCGAGACTTCACGGTGAGCTACCCCCCTTTCGAGTCGTTCAGCAGCATGCCGGAGTTTCTCTTTTGCTTGTATCTGTCTATTCTATTTCAGGCAGTAGGATAGTCATCTTTTGTATATTCTACTAGTTGCCCACACACTTGTGACACTAGATCTTGGCACATATTAGTAGACATTGATTTTTGGGGTTGTATTTCTACAGTTATGATTCCCTTTAGTTTGTTTCCATTTTTGATTCCTTTAAAAATCTGTTATTTATCAAATGTTTAGTTAGTTGTTGGAATCACTTAATAAAAATGAGAAATCACTAAATTGTTCATTGTTGGCTTGTCTAGCAACAGTGCTGGACGCCATCATGGCCTGACATGGAGTTGGGTCGTGACATAAACATTTCAAAATCGAGGGTTTGGCCATTTTTTTCAAAACTTGAGATAGAGTGCTTGGATTTGGACGAGATTTTGAGGGACTTTCAGAGACATCGATTATGTAATGATTCTACACTTGATTTTGGTTATATTCCACTAATCTATCATTAAATTCGGAATTGGGTTGAAAATTTATGGAATAATGGGAGAAGTTCTTCAACTAAGATTTTGGGTTTTGATTGGGATTTTGATATCGGATTTGGATAATATTGGTACGAGTGAACTCGTAAGCGAATGGGTGTTTATATTTTGTGACTTTTACCCGGTTTCGATATGTGGGCCTTGGTCGATTTTTTGGGATGATTTTCTAATTTCTCGCTTGATTTCATTAATTAGATTAGTTTCTTATAGTTATATTTATGGTGTGTAATTGCTTTAGGCTAGATTTGGGGCATTCAGAGTCGGATATTCATGGAAAAGGCATTGTTATCGATTAATTGAGCTTGGTTCGAGGTAAGTGATTTGCCTAACCTTATGTGGGGGAACTCCCCTTAGGATTTGGTACTATTGTGATATGTGGGCACTATGTACGTGAGGTGATGAGTGAGTACACGGGCTATTTGTTGTAAAACTCCAATTTTCATTGAGTAATAACCTATTTGTTCTTAATTGAGTTATATCAGCATGTGTAGTTATCCTCTTTAGCTTAGTATAGCATGTCTACGTGTCTTAAATGCTTGACTGAACTCTGTGCAGCATGCTTAATGAATTTCCTGCTTTCTTCCTTCACTTGTACTTAGTCTAAACTATAGGATTTCTTGTTGTAAAGGTTATTTCTATTGTTTGAGTTGCACATTTACTTTGGGACTACAAAACGGTATTTCGGGAGATCCCCCCTGCATATTTACTTTGGGACTACGGGACGGTATCCCGGGAGATCCCCCTACATATTTACTTTCGGACTACAGGACGGTATCTCTGGAGATCCCCCTTGTAGACATGTGATTTTTTACCCTCTCCAAGAGTTTTTATATTTTAGCATGTAAATATTTAATTTAGGCCTAATATCGTTATTTCAACTAATTTTGACTCTTTCACTTTATTTTATTACAAGAAAATAAAAATTACAAAAAAATAGTTTCATTAATGTTTTGTAGTCATTTTTAATCTTGAAAAATACCAGAAATAGTTTTGTATTAACGGTCAGCCTTATTTTAATAGTTATTTTACTTAAGTAGGATTAATTAATAAATGAGATTGTATTTTTAGTCCCGTTTGAGGAGAAAGAATAAACTTGGGCTCGAGCAACCCATTTTTAGGCCTAATTTTGGACCTACCCCATAATTCCCAAGCCCATAATTCCTACGCACATACCCCTTAACCTAAAAAAAATCCTATATAAGCCTAGACCCTAGACCTACATAAGAAAAAAACGAAAAAAAGACCTAAGGAAAAAAGCTGGCAAGCGCCGCAATACAAGGACCCACCCCCTAAATCCCATCTTCTTAATCCCCCTTTCGTCGATGTTGCTTCTTCTCCACCCTTTTCACTGACCTTCAAATAGCAGCTCCACCATGCTGTTCACCATCACGCCGCTGCCAGCAACCAATCCAAACGGATCAACGGCTTAGTTCCCTCACCTCCCATTAACACATACACATACAATAACAAAAGAACACAAAAAAAAAGAGTGTGTGAAACACCAGAAAATCGAAATGAAACATAAGTTTCAATCATCTTCTTTCTGATTTCTATTTCTGTTTTATTATGGAATTCTTTTGAGTTTTCGCTGTTTCGAGCTCGACTAAAACCATCATCCGCTCGAGGTCTCGTTTGAGGTTTGGAGCTCATTTGTGAGATCTGTTCAGAGGCAAGTATTGAAGTTTCGAGTTCGTCGAGGTCCGGTATCGACGAGTCGACGGGAAACAGATTGATTCACTGTTTTCAGTTCTTTAATCAGGTAATTATCAAGTACCAGTTATTTTTTGCTATTAGTATTTTCGTCTCTGTTTTGGTTGTTGTGGAAGAAGCGAGAAAGGAAACTTCAGAAACTAGGCAAGATTTCCTAAAGTTTTGGCGTATGTTCTCTCTTGGATTTTGGATGTAAAGCTTAATTAGTATTTCAATCTCTGTTGTGAAAGTTCTCTGACTTATGCTGTAATGTAATTGGGCAGTAAAAATGGAATCTCTCAAATTTTTATTAATAGGAATTAAATGGACCCGGATAGAGTGTAATTATTAAAGTGTAATTATTGTTTGATTTGTTAATTATAAGTTAAATAGATTTTTCTTGTTAGTAGGAAATAAATCAATATTTATAAATACTAGTAGTGTGCTTTTTGGCGCAATTAATAATAAATCATCGTGACTACGGGTATGGTTCCCATGGCGTGGTTGTGATACTTAATCTCAAAATTAGTGTTAAATAGGAATATTCGTAGTTCATGTAGTTGAATACTTTCCTCTTAATAAAATTGAGGCGTGCCACGCCAAACAAAATTTATAATCCATAGCCCTCATAAGATTAGATTCAAGAACTAAATTTTATAGGAAAAAGTTTGAGGTGTGCCGTACCAAATAAAATCCCTAAGTCCATGGCCCTCATAAAACTAGCTAGCTTTTATAGAAAAATCGAGGTGCGCCATCAATTGAATTTTCCATGGCCCTCGCAAACGTTGTTATTAATTTGAACCTTCGTAATTGCTTTAGGTGCGTTATTTACATGTTTGGACCTAATGTGCTAAATGTTGCTTTTTACCGCTTTGATATTATCTGAACTGTATATAAACTGCTACGAAACCCCTCTCTTCTAATCTTCTGAGAAGTGCACGCTGGCGTGACTTCTTTCTGTTAGTGTCATATCCTAATTAGAACGAGGTTCGAACAAGTTGCAAAGTCGGATGATCTTTTGGTTACCGGTACGCTGCCCCCCTTGGCTCGAGTTGTCCGCTCGGGTAAGCCAGGTCTAGAACAATACACCCAGATCTTAAACCTAGAATAACTCAGCCTCATGCCAGATCCCTAGTAGGAACTCTTGTTTGCATCATGTGCATTTGATTTTGGGGACTCAACACAGGGGTTGGGTCCGTCTAGGACAAGTGTACCCAAAAAACAAAAGACTATCCTGTTGCATCCTATATGCTACATGTTGTATTTTTTCAAGGGTAAAAGGGTCATTTGCCAGACCAATGATGCTGAGGGTAAATAAGAAAGAAAAGAGGGTAAAGTGTGAAAATAAAACAAGTAAGGCCCATTTATGTTTTTCTCTCACTTTTGTTTAAGAAAAAGAAAAAAAGTATGAATAATCCAAAAAGATTTTGCACTTTCCCCATCATTTTTTTCAAAAAAATAAAAGAGAAAATAAAATCCAAAAAAAGTTTACATGTTTCATAATTTTTCAAAACAAAGACAAAAAAAAATATTTTCTCTGGATTAGTTGTTTTTTTTAATTCTCGTCGTATCCAATCTGCCCGAACTACGCATACCTGATTCTCGTCTTTTGGGGCGTGATGCATAGGCAACCCACATAGGTGTCCGGTCTTCCTAGTGAGTTTAGGTTCTTGCCTTCACGGGGTCTTAGCTAAATCTTGCATTTTTAGCCACTTTTAGCCACATAGGTTAATTTTAGAAAAATGGTCACAACCATGTCTTGCATGTGTCTAGTAGGGAATGTTATTGTCTCACATAGCGTTGGTTTAAGTTTTCTCATACAGGTGTGGATGTACTTACCGGAGTTTGAGCATGACAGATACACCAGGATCACTGCATTCATAAGCTGCTCGACGAGCCATTTTATATTTTTAAGTCAATTGTTCATGTTTTATTTTCTAGTCTTGTATAGTAGTATCCAGTCTTTTAGGTGATGTTAGAGTTTGTAATAGTCTAGTTATGTTTTCTGAGTCTTTTGTTATTGTATTTTTTGCGGTTTTATATTTCCGTTATAAGTTTTCTTTAGAATACTAATTCTAGAAATGAAAAAAAAATTATTTGAAGTTGTTTTTCCTTTAGGCAATTAATATCAAAATAAAAATTACTTTTATATTTCCTTTAGTAATTAAGACTAAAAATTCAAAAAAAAAAAAAGAGAATTTTCCTGTGGTACCTGTTTAAAAATTTTCTTTAAGATATTAATTCCAAAAATCCAAAAAGATTTTCTTTTGAGGTTATTCTTTGGGAAATTAATGAAAAATGAATGAAAAAAAATTGTTTTTATTTTACAAGAACTTTATGACATTGTACATAGAGGAAAAAAGATATGCTTTACCTTTGGTTTATCTTCAGGGTTTCTCCCTTAGGTAATCAAACTGAAATCCAAAAAATATTTTTTTTTATCTTTTTCATTTCTTACTTAGGAATCTTTCTTTCAGGATATCAAATGAAAATTCAAAAAAAAAAAATTGGTTTATTCTTTAGATTTCCTTCCTAAAAAAAGAATCAAAAATATTTTTCTCTTCTAGGGTTTTCCCTAAATAATTCCCATAGTGTATTTGTTTCGAAAAAGGGAAAAAATATATGATCGTTAAGCTTGAGTTTAGAATAGGTTATAGAACATTAAGTCTAGAAAATTCAAAAAAAAAGAAGAGAGTTTTGCTTCTTTTATTTCTCTTTTCTTATAAGAATAGTCCTTAAGGTAAAAAAGGAAGAAAAAGAGAACGTTAGTTTGTTTACTATATTCCCGATCTTCCAGAACTACGCAAGATCTGATTCATGCGGCGTCATGATACGTAGGCAACCTACATATGGTTCGATCGAATCATTTTTTATTTATTAAAAGAAAAAAAAGAAAAAAGAAAGAGATGAAATCATGGGATGTGAGAAATGAGAGGGAAGAAAAGAGCGATAATCAAAAAGAAAAAAAAAGGAAAGAAAATGAGCGAGCAAAGAAAAGAAAAGAGAAGATTCAAATGGACAAATTGGGATGATGCCAAGTGACCTTGTGACCCTCGAAGTCATTCTTGAACTGTTAATTGTTGCTAGGTGCATTGCACGAAATGTGATATTTTTAGTTGTTAAATGCCCTAACGCTAACATGATGACTTCATTTTGTTCCTCTTTGTTCTCCTTATTATAGCAGAAGGGTGGTTGGTTTGTGGTTCTTAAGGTAACTCGTCCATACAATACAAGGTCAAAGGGCAAGGTAGCAATGGCTAGCAAAAACTTGGGCACAAGAGTTGTTGACCCGTCAAGGGAGTTTGTGGAGTCGGAGTCTGAATTAAAAGAGGAGGTCCATAGGGTGAAACAACAAATGGAAGAAATGTATTAGTCTTGGATCAGGGGGCATCCTCCACCTTTATTCCCCACTAACTACACTGAAAACCCTGCAACTATCCCACCACTGTCACAAATCCAGATTCCCACTGTTGATAATATCTCCCCACGACCTTTTCACACTCTACCCGCCAAAATCACCTTATATCCCGCTCCTTTGGCCCCCATGCTCTTGCAGCTCCTCCACCAGCTATTTTTTCACGATCCTCTAACGAGAGTGTGTTCAAAGTCCCCGATGCCCAACATTGTGCTCCAAAACCAACTTTCAAAGTCTCGGATCTATATCCTCACATTCCTCATTTTGAGCATCCCGGTAAAAGTGAAAAGCCTGCTAAGATAGTGGAGCAAGCTGAGATATCCAGGAAGGTCAAAATCTTAGAGCAGTCTTTAAGAAACATGAAAGGGATAGGGAGCCAGATGACCGTGGCTTACAATGACTTGTGCTTATTTCCCGACATCTAACTGCCTGATGGGATTAAGATGCCAAAGTTTGATTTATATGACAGACATGGAGATCCCGTGGCCCATTTGAGAGGCTACTACAATAAGATGAGAGGTGCCGGTGGGAAAGACAAATTATTGATGGCGTATTTCAGTCAAACCCTAAGTGGGGCAGCTCTGGAGTGGTACACCCGCCAAGATGCTAGTAGGTGGTGCACCTGGGATGATATGGCTCAAGCCTTTGCCAAGCACTTTCAGTACAATATAGAAATTGTCCCGGATCGCATGTCCCTCACCAATATGGAAAAGAAGCCTACTGAAAACTTTAGGGAATATGGGCTCAAATGGAGAGAGAAAGCTGCTAGAGTCAATCCCCCAATGGAAGAAAAAGAGATGGTCGAGTACTTTCTCCAAGCTCAAGAGCCAACTTACTTTGGGCATTTGATCACGGCTGTGGGTAGGCCTTTTAATGATGTGGTAAAAATGGGAGAAATAGTAGAAGATGGGTTGAAGTCAACCAAGATCATGAGCTATTCTGCTTTAAAAGCAACAACACAAGCAATTTTGAACGACATAGGAAGCTTGCTGGGTCAGAAGGAACATGATGATGTGGCCATGGTTGTTTCATAGTCACGACATGGACCAAAGGGCCGCCTCACCCATATACCCAGCCTCAACTCCAACCCCAAACCTATCNCCTAAATTGAGAGTTCATTCATAGGAAACGCACTTCCTAGTTTGAGTCATTGAAGTTTCACCCATAGGAGACGCAATTCCTAAAGTGAGAGTTCATTCATAGGAGACACAGTTCCTAGTTTGAGTCATTGAAGTTTCACCCATGGGAGACGCACTTCCTAGTCTAGGTCTTTCAAACTATATTTTGTTTTAGGAGACGCATTTCCTAAATTGAGTTTCACCCCTAGGAGACGCACTTCCTAGTCTGGGTCTTTCAAGATACACTTTCAGGAGACACACTTCCTAAATTGATATTTTACCACTAGGAGACGCATTTCTTAAATTGAGTTTCACCCATAGAAGACGCACTTCCTAAATTGAGAGTTCATTCGTAGGAGACGCACTTCCTAGTTTGAGTCAGTTAAGTTCTACCCATTGGGAGATGCACTACCTAGTTAGGGCCTTTCGAGTTATATTTTGTTCTAGGAGACGCACTTCCTAAATTAAGATTTTACCCCTAGGAGATGCACTTCTTGGTTTTGGTTCATACAAGTTTTACCCGTATGAGACGCACTTCTTAGTTTGGTTCATTCAGGTTTTATTTTTAGCAGACGCATTTGCTAGTCAAAGCTTTTGGTTTTACTCATAGGAGACGCACATCTTGGTCTAGTCATTAGTTTACTCTCATCATTGCATCAATAGTATAAATGGTTTATAATATTGCTAACAACTCACAAATCTTCCTAGTGCAAACTAGGGTAGAAAATTTTGTTTGTTTTGTTTGTTTTGATGAAATCAGACACCCACCTGGAGAACAAAGGGAGGACGGCACACGTTCAAAGGAAAGAGGATCAAGTTCGGCAATCAGGAAACCCCCCTAGAGAGAAAAGGAAAACAGTTCAAAGGAAAAGCAGTCTCAAGATGAAGTAGTTCAAGTTCAGCAATCAGGAGCCCACCTGGAGAACAAAGGGAAAACAGTTCATGTTTCAAGGACAAGCAGTGCAATTGTTGGAAATTAAGTGCCCACCTGGAGAAACAATGGGAAAGCAGCAACATTCAAAGGAGTTCAGCTATTAGGAGCCCACCTAGAGAACAAAGGGAAGCAATTCAAGTTTCAAAGAAAAGCAGTGCAAGTGTTCAGCAATGAGAAGCCAACCTGGAAAATAAGAGAATTCACCTCAGAATGCAATTCAAGTCAGCAACGAAAGAAGCTCGTGGCAAGAATGCGAGTCATCAGTCCGAGATGATCAACAGAAGTTAGTAACAATCTAGAATTAAAAAGAAAGAAGTAGAAGAAAGGCAAGAAGTGAATCCATATGCAGAAGTTGATGAAAGATGTGAGCTGCTCAAGACATGACTGAAGTCACAAGCATGGTGTGTCCGACTTTGATCCGGAAAGTTGAAGAAGAATGAACTAGCACCTGCAACTAGCAAGCGTCAAGGTTCAAATCCAAAGTCTGTATGAAGGACCATTCAAGACTCAAGATCAAGCTTCAGAAGACTTATAGATAGGAATCTTGTAACTCATAGTTGACAGGCTTAGTTAGTTTTTCCATTTTTTTTATTTGGATGTAACATCAGGACCGCGGACCGGAACCTCGGCGGAACGACACCTTGACCGGCTTTCCACCTCGGTATACTCCATCATCTCACTCACCTCTGAACTACACGTGACCTGATTCCTTTATAGCCAATGATATGTAGGCAACTCATATACCAGGGCTCGGTCACATTCCCCTTTTCTCTTAGTTTTGGTCTCCTTAAATAAGGGTCGGGTCAAAAAACCTATCTAGTCGTTCTTTGTCCGAAAACTCTTTGTGTTTTCAGTTAAAGAGGGGCAGCTGTAGACATGTGATTTTTGACCCTCCCCAAGATTTTTTATATTTTAGCATGTAAATATTTAATTTAGGCCTAATATCGTTATTTCAACTAATTTTGACTCTTTCACTTTATTTTATTACAAGAAAATGAAAATTATAAAAAAATAGTTTCATTAATGTTTTGTAGTCATTTTTAATCTTGAAAAATACCAAAAAGTAGTTTTGTTTTAAAGATCAGTCTTATTTTAATAGCTATTTTACTTAAGTAGGATTAATTAATAAATGAGATCGTATTTTTAGTCTCGTTTGCGGGGAAAGAATAAACTTGGGCTCGAGCAACCCATTTTTAGGCCTAACTTTGGACCTAGCCCATAATTCCCAAGCCCATAATTCCTAGGTCCATACCCCTTAACCTAAAAAAAACCCTATATAAGCCTAGACCCTAGACCTACATAAGAAAAAAATGAAAAAAAGACCTAAGGAAAAAAGCTAGCAAGCGCCGCAATACAAGGACCCACCCCCTGAATCTCGTCTTCTTCATCCCCCTCCCGGCGATGTTGCTTCTTCTCCACCCTTTTCACTGACCTTCAAATAGCAGCTCCACCATGTTGTTCACCATCACGCTGCCGCCAGCAACCAATCCAAACAGATAAGTGGCTTAGTTCCCTCACCTCCCATTAACACACACACATACAAGAACAAAAGAACAAAAAAAAATAGATGTGTGAAACACCAGAAAATTGAAATGAAACATAAGTTTCAGTCATCTTCTTTCTGATTTCTATTTCCGTTTTATTATGGAATTCGTTTGAGTTTTTGCTATTTCTAGCTCGACTAAAACCATCATCCACTCGAGGTATCGTTTGAGGTTGAGTCCATTTTTGGAGCTCGTTTGTGAGATATGTTCGGAGGCAAGTATTGAAGTTTCGAGTTCGTTGAGGTCCGGTTCGACGAGTCGACGGGAAATGGATTGATTCACTGTTTTCAGTTCTTTAATCAGGTAATTATCAAGTACCCGTTATTTTTTGCTATTAGTATTTTCGTCTCTGTTTTTGTTCTTGTGGAAGAAGCGAGAAAGGAAACTTCAGAAACTAGGCAAGATTTCCTAAAGTTTTGGTGTATGTTCTTTCTTGGATTTTGGATGTAAAACTGAATTAGTATTTCAATCTCTGTTGTGAAAGTTCTCTAACTTATGCTGTAATGCAATTGGGTAGTAAAAGTGGAATCTCTCAAATTTTTATTAATAGGAATTAAATGGACCCGGATAGAGTGTAATTATTAAAGTGTAATTATTGTTTGATTTTTTAATTATAAGTTAAATAGATTTTTCTTGTTAGTAGGGAATAAATCAATATTTATAAATACTAGTAGTTTTCTTTTTGGCGCGATTAATAATAAATCATCGTGACTACGGGTATAGTACCCATGGCGTGGTTGTGATACTTAATCTTAAAATTAGGGTTAAATAGGAATATTCGTAGTTTATGTAGTTGAATACTTTCCTCTTAATAAAATTGAGGCATGCCACGGCAAACAAAATTTATAATCCATGGCCCTCATAAGATTAGATTCAAGAACTAATACTTATAGGAAAAAGTTTGAGGTGTGCCATGCCAAATAAAATCCCTAAGTCCATGGCCCTCATAAGATTAGATTCAAGAACTAATACTTATAGGAAAAAGTTTGAGGTGTGCCATGCCAAATAAAATCCCTAAGTCCATGGCCCTCATAAAACTAGCTAGCTTTTAAAGAAAAATCGAGGTGCGCCATCAATTGAATTTTCCATGGCCCTCGCAAACGTTATTATTAATTTGAACCTTCGTAATTGCTTTAGGCGCGTTCTTTAGATTGATTTTCTTTTAATTACTAAAATCCGGGGGTACATTTCATATGGCCCGGTTCTAACTCCCAATAAGGTTAAATAGAACGTATCGTGACTCACGAGTGCATTTCATGTAGCGTGGCTTGTGATGTGTTTTAAATAACCTTGGATTTTCCTTAAATAAATAAAAGCGGTTTAAAAGTTAAACAATGCACATAGGTTTAAAAGTGTTTTAAAATCAGATAAATAGGCCAATAATAACAGTTGAGCGACCGTACTAAAACCACAGAACCTAGAAATGCCTAACACTTTCTCCCGGGTTAACAAAATTCCTTACCCGGATTTCTGTGTTCGCGGACTGTAAAACAAAGTCAATCTTTTCTTGATTCGGATTTAAACTGGTGACTTGGGACACCATAAATTATCCCAAGTGACGACTTTGATTTCTTAAATAATCCCGTTTCGATTGTCACTTTAATTGGAAAAACTCCTTTGTAGCCTTCCGGGGGGTAGAAAAAAGAGATGTGACACCCCTGCATATTTACTTTGGGACTACGGGATGGTATCCTAGAGATCCCCCTGCATATTTACTTTGGAATTACGGAATGGTATCCTGGGAGATCCCTTTGCACATTTACTTTTGAAAATACGAGACGGTATCTTGGGGTATCCCCTGTTGTTATTCCTGTGTGCGGTACTTTTATTCTTCTGTGATTTCCTTCTTGTTAAAATTCATTCTCTTATTATACTGCGATATTTTAATTCTAGCTTATTTAATTTATATATATCAGGAGGGCCCTGACCTGACTTCGTCACTACTAGACCGAGGTTAAGCTTGGCACTAAACTGGGTGTCATTGTGGTGTACTCATGCTACTCTTCTGCACATGTTTTCGTATGCAGGCCCAGGTACCTCCTATCAGCCTTGCTATTAGTTGCGTACTTGCTACTGCTCCATAGACTTCAAGGTACATCTGCTCGTGTCCACAGACCTCGGAGTCTTCCTCTATCCCTTTTATGTTGTTCCTCCTTTACTTCTTCTAGTTATTGATGTATAGAAACAGTTAGACAAAATGTTAGAAGCTTGTGACTTATGGTGTTCTGGGTCTTGGGGAAATTTTTTTAGTATATTTCGAGAGTTGGTTATTGTACATGCCGAGCGGCATCTCTATCAGTTATTAAATATTTGTTGTTGTTAGTTGTTAAGGTTTTTTCTTTCATTTTTTGTTATTTCCACAAATGTTAGGCTTACTTAGTCGTAGAGACTAGGTGCTGTCACAACATCTCACGGAGAGACGATTGGGTCGTGAAATGTTGGTATCAGAGCTCTAGGTTCATAGGTGTCGTTAGTCACAAGCAGGTTTAGTAGAGTCTCGCAATCATCACGGAGACGTCTGTACTTATCTTCGGGATGCTATGGAACTGTTAGGAAAATCTCACTTCTTTTGATTCCTTGTGGTGCGAATTTGTTGACTTCGAAATTCTAAACTTCTGTCTTTTATTCTCTCACAGATGATGAGGACACGTCCAGTCGGATCAAATGACCAGACACTCGCGCCCCCTGCTAAAGCTGACAGAGGCCGAGGCCGGGGTAGAGGCCGAGGACGTCCACATAGTTCAGCTAGAGCACCCGCACGAGCTTCCACATAGGAGCCACCAGTAGCTCCAATCGAAGCGCAGGCACCTAAGACGCATGCTACTACACTAGCTCTTCAGAAAACCCTTGCATAGTTCCTGAGCATGTTCGGTACTCTAGCTCATGTAGGGTTAATTCCCCTTTCCCTACCACATCTCAGGCAGGGGGAGGAACACAGACTCCCGCTGCCCGCACCCCAGAGCAGCGGGTTCAGGTCAATCAGATTCTAGAGGTCATACCGGTGCCACAAGTCGCCCCAATTCATCCCGAGGGTAGGGCAGCAGTTTCTGAGGAGGAGCACTATAGGTTTGAGAGATACAAGAATTACCACCCTCTTACTTTGTCTGGTCTGGCGTCAGATGATGCTCAGAGATTTTTTGAGGAGTGCCACCGTATCCTCTGTACTATGGGCGTAGCAGAGTCGAGTGGGGTTTCTTTCACTACATTCCAGCTTAGAGAAACAACCTATCAGTGGTGACGTGCTTATGAGTCTGACAGTCCAGCTGCGGCAACTTCACTTACATGTACTCAGTTCTCGGATATGTTTTTGAGGGAGTATGTTCCCCAGAGCCTCAGAAATGCATGGCTCACCGAGTTTGAGCAGTTGCACCAAGGTGCTATGACTGTGTAAGAGTATGCAGTTCGTTTCAGTGACTTGGCTATACATGCACCGGTGTGATGAACCAAAAGGTCATCACTTGTGTCGCAAGTGCATTCAGTATTCCAAGGCCTAAAAACCTCCCTTTTACCCCACCTTGATTTGCGTGCGTGTTCCGGACCTATATCCGGAAAGCCTTCTATGTGAAAATTTGAGAAATAAAAATTTTAGAGTTAAAAAAAATTGATTGTGGTTGACTTTGGTCAACATTTTTAGCAAACGGACCCGGATCCGTGTTCTGACAATCCCGAGAGGTCCGCAGTAAAATATGGGACTTGGGTGTATGCTCGGAAATGAATTCCGAGGTCCCAAGCCCTAGAAATCAATTTTTGAAAGAAATTATTTTACTGAATTTTCTAAGAAATAAAGAAAAGAATTAATGTTCGAAACCACTGTTCTCGGGCCCGTATTTTGGTTGTCACGCCCAGTATAGGTCTTATATATGATTTAAGACATTTCTATGGAATTTGGTGAAAAACTGATGTCATATGACGTGATTTGGACTTAAACCGCAAAATTGATGTTTAAAGAAGTTTGGAGAAAATTTTATTGATCTCGAGATTTAATTTAATGTTCATGATGTTATCTTGATGATTTTATTACACGAATAAGTCCGTAGGATGTTTTTGAGGTTTTGAGTGCACTTGGTTTGGAGTTCCGAGGGCTCGGGTGAGTTTCGGGTAGGTTCCGGGATGTTTTAGGCTTAAAACCAGAAGTTGGAAGCCTCTGAACCCACCAGTGCGGTCCGCGGTCGGCCTTGTCCGGTGCGCGATGTAGGGTTGTGCGGCCGCAGACGACTTTGTGCGGTCCGCACAAGGCACTGGACTGCAGTATTCTCAGGAAGGGCTGTGCAGCCGCAATCCATCTTGTGCGGTCCGCACAGGGGGTCTGAGAGGGGTATAAATAGACGGGATTTTCAGTCATTATTCATTTTTCAAAACCCCATAAACATAAGAGGCGAATTTTCAAACAACCTTTCTTCTCCAAATCAATTTTAAGTCGTTTTAACTAGTTTTCTTCAATCATTAACATCTTTTAACATGATTTCAACTTCAAATCAATGATTTTTATGGGGAAATTGGGTGTTTTGGGTAAAACCTGGGTTATTCAAAAATTGAGGATTTGGACCTCGATTTGAGGTCCGATTTCAAAATAAATCCTATATTGGGGTTCATGGGGGGAATGGGTAATCGGGTGTTGGTTCGAACCTCAGGTTTTGACCATGTGGTCTCGGGGGCGATTTTTGACTTTTTTGGGTAAAACTTTAGAAAACTCATTTTCATGCATTCAAATTGATTCATTTAGCGTTTATTGATGTAATTAAGTAATTTGTGACTAGATACGAGCGAATTGGCAATGGAATCAAGGGGTAAAGCTATAATTGAAACTTGAGTTGTGTTCGAGGCATCGAGGTAAGTGTTCGGTCTAACCTTAGCTTGAGGGATTAGGAGTTGAGTCCTATTTGCTAATTGCTTCTCGTTGAGTACGACGTATAGGCATGGTGACGAGTATCTATACGTTGGTGTCGAGCATGACCGTGAGTCCTAAATTGATACTTGTTGTATTCTTATATGATACTACGAATGCTATAGTGGGTGAATTCTTAATAATGAGTAAAGAGTTAAGTTTATTTTCGTGAAAGATACTTATGATTGAGAAATGGTGATAATTGAGATGAGTAGGAGTTGAGTTAAGATTGGTTATAGTTGATTCTCCCTTGCAGGAACATATATATTTATATTGTTGAATTCCCTTACCGGGATAGTATAGTTTATTGTTGACCCCTTTCCGGGACTGTTATTATGATAATTGTTGACGGTATATTTGGGATGGGTTGCGTGCCGCAACATTATTATATATATTTATGGATCGGGTTGCACGCCGCAACAGATATTATATTGGATCGGGTTGCATGCCGCAACAGTTATATATGTGGATCAGGTTGCACGCCGCAATAATATTAAATTATAAGGGATCGGGTTGCGCGCCGCAACAGTATTGTTATTGTATTGTTGTAGATATTGAATTGTCCTTTCATATATTATTAAGTTGCTGTTGGATTTGGTATGTTCCTCGAAGCATGTACCCCCTCCCATTTAAACTGCTTATTCCTATTTATTTTCCGCCATATGTTATATAAATGCAAAGGTTTATCTGGAGTCTGGTCCTAGCCTCGTCACTACCTCGTGGGGTTAGACCAGACACTTACTAGCACATAGGGTCGGTTGTGCTGATGCTACACTTTGCACTCTGTGCAGATGCCGGAGTAGCATTGGATTAGTAGCTTGGGAGCCAGCCTTCAGTCCACCGAGATTCCAAGGTAGTCCTGCAAGCGTCCGCAGGCCCGACGTCTCTTCTATATATTATTATGTTCTGTTATCACTTGTATCCGAGACAGACTGTGTTTCGTTCCTTCAGACAATTGTATGTAGTAGTCATAGACGGTCCGTGAATGTTGTGACACCAGTTTCTGGGTAGAGGCATATGTTGATTTCCGTATTACTTTGGCTTATTTGTCTAAGTCTTCCGCTTAATCTTGTATTTTGCTGTTATTTAAATGTTTATCACTTGTTAAAATAAGTTGTAAAAAGAATTAAAATAAAAGAATTAAAGATTCCTAATTTCGTGGCTTGCCTAGCTTCTAAGAGTAGGCGCCATCACGACTCCCGAGGGTGGGAAATCCGGGTCGTGACAAGTTGGTATTAGAGCTCTAGGTTACATAGGTCTCACAATTCACGGACAAGCTTAGTAGAGTCTGAAGGATCTGTACGGAGACGTCTGTATTTATCCCTCAGAGGCTATAGAGTTAGGAAATCTTCACATTTGTTCTTTCCTATCGTGCGGTTTTGTTTCTCTATGCTAATTGAATTTCTACTCTATTCTCTCACAGATGGCGAGAACACGTGCTTCCTCATCTACCGCTCAGTAGCCCGAACCCCCAGCAGCAGCTCCCACGAGGGGCAGAGGTTGAGGCCGAGGTCGTGCTAGAGGCCGAGGAAGGGGCAGAGCTCAGCCCAGAGCAGCAGCACCAGTGATGGAGCCTCAGGTTGATTTTGATAAGGAGGTTCCGGCCCCAGCAGTTTCGGTGGGCCCATCTCAGGTCCCAGAGGGGTTTATTGCTACCCCAGTCCTTCAGGATGCTCTAGTCCGATTAGTGTGTCTCATGAAAACTGTCACCCGAGCAGGCTTGCTTCCTATGGCACCAGCCATCTCTCAGGATGGATGAGGGGCCCAGACTCCTGCTACTCGCACTCTGGAGCAGGTAGCTCCCCAGATTCAGACTCCAGCGGTTCAGCCAGTTGGAGTAGTTTAGCCGGGTGTGGTAGCTCAGGCCGGCAATGGAGCGCCTATGTCTGCCGAAGCTTTGTGGAGGCTGGATAGGTTCACCAAGCTCTTCACTTCTACTTTCAGCGGTGCATCTGCTGAGGATCCCCAGGATTACATAGACAACTGCCACGAGGTTCTCAGGAACATGGGTATTATTGAGACCAATGGGGTCGAATTTGCTATGTTTCGCTTGTCTGGATTGGCTAAGACTTGGTAGAGAGATTATTGCTTGGCTAGGCCAGTCGAATCACCATCTTTGACTTGGGAGCAGTTTATAGTGTTTTTTCTGGAGAAGTTTCTCCCCATTACTCAGAGAGAGGCCTACTAGAGGTAATTTGAGCATCTCCAACAGGATTCCATGACTATTTCCCAGTATGAGACCAGATTCATCGACTTAGCTTGCCATGTCCTTGTCATACTTCTTATCGAGAGAGAGAGGGTAAGGAGGTTTATTGACGGTCTTATTCAACCGATTCGTCTTCAGATGGATAGGGAGGTTGGGAGTGAGATTACTTTTCAGGAGGTGGCTAATGTGGCCCATAGAGATGAGATGGTTCTGTCACAGGGAGGTGGTCATGGGTCGGACTAGAGGCTTTCAGGTAGATTCAGTGGTACCTCGTCCAGAGGTAGAGATTCATATGGTAAAGGCAATCCTCTGAGGCCTTTCTAGTTAGCACTTTAGGTTTCTCACGGTGCTTCAGGTAGCCGTGGTCCTCAGATGCAGTATTTTGATCAGCAGTCCTACAGCGCACCACCAGCTCCTATCAATGCACCGCCGCTCCAGAGTTTTTAGGGTGGTCATTCAGGTTGCCAGGGTCAGTCTCAGTTTCCTCAGCCGTAGCACTCAGGTGGATGCTATGAGTGTGGTGAGTATGGTCATATCAGGAGGGCTTGTCCGAGATTGGTGGGTACTCAGTCGCAGCAGCAGCAGGGTCCCTATGCTATGGTTCAGGCACCAGGTGTTCCACAGCCTGCCCAGCCAGCTAGAGGTGGGGGTAGAGGTTCTAGAGGTGGAGGTAGAGGATTTAGAGGTGGAGCTCAGACCGCTAGAGGTGGAGGCCAACCAGCTGCAGGTCGTCCCAAAGATGTAGTCCAGAGTGGTCGGGCCCAGCCCCGATGCTATTCTCTTCCAGCCAGGCCCGAGGCTGAGGCTTCAGATGCAGCTATTATAGGTACGGTTCTTGTTTGTGATAGAGATGCTTCAGTGTTATTTGATCCAGGGTCTACATACTCGTATGTGTCCTTTTATTTTGCACCATATCTGGTTATGCCTAGTGATTCTTTGAGTGATCCCGTTTATGTGTCTACGCCGGTGGGTGATTCTATTGTGGTAGATCGAGTCCATCATTCATGTATAGTTGTGATCAGGAGTCTTGACACTCGTGTAGATTTGTTGCTTCTGGACATAGTAGATTTTGATGTTATATTGGGAATGGACTGGTTATCACCTTACCACGCTATCTTGGACTGTCAAGCCAAGACTGTGACCTTAGCTTTACCGGGTTTGCCTCGTTTAGAGTGGAGAGGGAGTCCTGGTCATTCTACCCGTAGTGTTATCTCTTATGTGAAGGCTCGGCTCATGGTCGAGAAAGGGTGTTTGGCCTATTTGGCATATGTGCGTGATTCTAGTGTTGAGGTTCCTTTTATTGATTCTGTGCCCGTTGTTTGTGAGTTTCCTGAGGTTTTCCCTTTAGACCTGCCAGGTATGCCACCCGATAGGGATATTAATTTCTACATTGAGTTGGCTCCGGGCACTCAGCCCATTTCTATTCCGTCGTATCGTATGGCCCCGCCTGAGTTGAAAGAGTTGAAGGAA